TGGTATTTGCACCTCACCACCAGTAGGATCACAAAAGCTTTTAAATGCTGGATGTGGTAAGGCACTTTGTAATCCCAGCAACTGGGAGGCTGAGGCAGGAGGATCGCCACAAACTCGAGGCCAGCCTGGGCTGCACAGTGAGTTCAAGGCCAGCATGAACTACATAGTGACATCCTGTCTCAACACTCCTCAAAAGGCTTTTAAATGTACAAAAGACACTGAGGGTTAGCCTTGTAGCAGTGCGCAGGCTGGATCAAGATGCAGAAAGACCTACCAAGTTGACATTCAACTTGTCACTTCTGTAACAGAAAGTACCTATATCTTAGAGTTGTGATGAGGGCTAAACAAAAGAATACACACAAAACAGCACCAAATCTGATTAGCACAGTGAGCCTAAGAGCTTAGTACAGTCCCAAAGTGTGGTCAATGCTCAGTAAGTTAGATATTGTTATTAATTATATAACTCATGCTTATTCACCTTTACATCTCTGGACATGTCATGGTCCTGCTTAAGTGTCCTCTCCCCTTAAGCTGTGGAGCTATATTCAATAATTTTTTCCCCAACACTTAGTTCAACAACAACCTCTCCAGGAAGTCTGCCCTGACAACTGCAGGCTGCATTCCTGTAGGACCACTTTGGTTAAGAACCTATCTGTCATCACTTCCCATAGGTTATCAGCTTTGTCAGTACACCCAGGAACAAGTGAGCAGTTTCAGGACTGATTTAGGGTACATAAGCTCAAGAAGGACACTTACTAGGTTTATAAATATCAAAAGAGCTATCACCGGGGGGAGGGGGGATGTAGCTCAGTGACAGAACCCTCACCTAGCTTGAGTGTGGCCTTAGGCGCCATCACCAGCCCTGAAACTTGTTAGACGTTTATCAGGTGGCAGACAACAAGCTCAAAGCCCTCAAGGCAACACTAAGAAAAAGGTGCCACTAGTATTCCCACCCTACAGATGGAAAGACTAAGATCATCCAGCATCACAAGACCAGAATCTGACTTAGCTCTCAGCCACTCTCATTCTTTCTTTGCTAAAAAGCTTCCATGTACAACCATGCTCTAAGCAGAGGGTATCAAGAGGATGGAAAGTAAGGAAAGACCTTTGTTGCTACTGGCAGTATAGCAGAGGACTACACACAGCTCCTCTGGTCAAGGCCCACAGATGGTGTTGCAGACGTACCACTTAATTCCTCACTTCTGAACCCATCGTCCCAATTCCCACAGACATCATCCCAACCCTCTCCTAGAAACACAAGTCTTTCTTTGGAGGATACAAAATTAAGTTTAATCTGTCTGGCTACAAACACATTCCAATCATGCCTTCCTGAGGTTATAGCTGGGTCAGTTTGGTTGAATTTAAAGTTTTCCCTGAAATTCTTCAAACTACATTTACAAAATGTCTCTTGGCTTATATCTTTTCTAATAGCCGATTTTTATTATTTCGATTTTATTCCTAGATGATCATTCATTCATTCAACAAATACTTAACTGTTTCCAGAACACTGTGTTCTAGGCCTAGAGAGAAAAATAGAGAACAAGACAGGCAAGATTCCTGAAGCCTGGCACAACTTTTCTGGTGTCTTCCCTTCTAGGTACTTATGATACTTTATGGCAACCACTTTTCATGTTCTTCCTCAGGCTGTGCCTTTCAGCTCTGTATTCTGATCTTCCAGTAAAGTAACTGACCTATATATTATAAGTACCCCACAAATGTCAGCTAAATGAATTCATAACTAAATTCATGGGTCTCATCTTTCTCATTCAGAATGAGACCAGATTATACATGAAGTCCCTTAGAAAAAGGTACAAGCTGGACATGGTGGCACATGCCTCTAATTCCAGCACTCTGGGATTGCCCAGCCTGGACAATTTACAGACTTAACAAGACCCTCTCCCAAAATAAAAAATAAAATAGAAGAAGGGCTCAAGATATAGCTCAGTGTCCTAGGTTCAATTCCCAGTGCGGGAGGAAATAATAAAAGTTCAAAGTGTAAATCAAAGTGTAGAACAGAAATAGCAAAATATGGCATCAGAAACATGAACAGGGTCAGTGAGAAGAAAATAAAGAACTGACCTGCAAAAAGGTCTGAGTTGGGGGTCTCTAAGTGAAGGCAGAGGTAAATCACATACTAGATTTATGGGAAGCAAATATTAGGAGGGTTAAAAAGCATAAAGCTAGGCCTCAAAAAATATTTCCAGACTCCCAGGCAAATTAAAAGCAAGTGGAGCAACAAAGACAAGTGAAACACACATTCAAAGCAGGGCATAGTGGTACACTCCTCTAATCCCAGCAACGGAGAGGCTGAGGCAGGCGAAACATGAGTTCCAGGCCAGCCTGGGCCACACACTGAATTCAAGGCTGGTGTGGGCAACTTATCAAGACCCTATCTCAAAATAAACAAACAAAACCAGCTCCAAGAAACTAATCAAGAACAAGATTTGTCCACGACAGCAAGAATAGTCAAATATTTGCGAAGGAAATGAAAAAACTATGAGCACTGCATCTGTCAATCAATTAGGGAGCACTCAACCCTCAAGAGGGCACTTTCAGTGGTGATAAAAACACACTTGAGGCCCAACTTCGGACGCTACAGACTCTCAGTGAACTTAGAGCAAGAGATAGGGGCAATCTGCTTTTTCTGTAACTCCAAAACAAAGGAATTCCATATTCAAACCAACACTGTCCACCTCAGAAGGTCATCATTTCCCACTAAGGACAAAGTCACAGGAGGCAAAGAGAGCAGACCTCAATCCATGGGATGCTCCAGCCTGCTAACTCAGACACAACTATTTTCTGAGATTTGGAAGATCTGCTGGACTTTTACAGCTCTTGGTTATTAGGCTCTGGGTTTTCAATAAAAAAAAGCATTCAGTAAAATTTTTACAGAATCACATGCTACTTATTATTTTTTTAAAGGATGCTTAAAGCATGCCGTCTTCCAAAAATCCAGAGATAATTTTAGATTGAAAAAAACCTAGGCTTGCCAAGGGAATCTGAGAACTTTTCTATCTTGGTCTCCAATGCTAACCTAGGTATTCTCGTGTGCAAAAATAGAGGAAGATTAGAATCTCAAATGCCAGACTGAAAAGTTGCCACAACAAACCTGAACTCTTCATATGGAGTTTGTTATCTTGTCAGCAAGAAAGTAAATGAAACAGCAAAAACTAAACTTTCTGCTTTAAAATACACATATTAAAAAATCTCAAACAGTGCTTACTTCAGCAGCACATATGCTAAAAAAATCTCAAACAAAAAATATTCCCTGGGCTTGTCAATGGAAATGATTAAAAACAAACAAAAAAAAAGATACCATGAAAAGAAAATATTGCTTTTTAAAAGCACATTAAGCATCTGAGCATAAACAAAATCTAAATATCGAATCTGTAAATCGTCCTTTACAAACACATATTTGGAAATTTAAGTCGAAAATAAGATGGAAAGGTCGGGGAGATAGCTCAGAGGCACAATGCCTGCCTGGCAAGAGCGAGGTCCTGAGTTCGATTTCTCGTACCACCTTCCTCCCCGCCCCCGAAAAAAAAGATAAAAAAGTTAAGAGCTTGTTTAAGAAAATCAGTACAACTCACTGGTCACCTAAACCAAAATTAATTTTTTTTTAAAAATTGGGCGAGGGTACCAGGAATCCAATGCAGGACCTCACACTTGTCAGGCTGGTCCTGTGCCGCTGAACTAAATCCCCAGCCCCTCAAAAATAAATTTTAAGTAGATTAAACAGTTAAAAGTAAAAAACATCAAAACAAAAACCGTGAAACGATGAGAAGCAAACATGGCTGGAATTTTTTGCAACACTGGGTCAGAGATGAATTTTCCAAATATATCAACAAAGAAAAAAAACTATTTTTTTTAATGAATGCTACCTTTGACCTCATTTGTAAATTTATCGTAATAACCAGACGAATCCTTTTTTGCAGACTGTTTATCTTGTGACAGGCTGGAAAACAATTTAAATGTTCTAGTAGGGATTGGTTAAATTACGCTATACGATGGTGTCTATGAAGTCCATAAAGATGACAATATACATCTGTCTTTACTGTTATCACCAAAAGGTTAGCAGTGGTTCTCACTGGGGTAAGTTGGTGGATGATTGCCATTTTCTCCCTTAGGCTTTTTCTACTGCATCGACGGTTTTACAAAAAAGAGAATGCACTGCTTTTTATAATGGGGGTACGGGGCGGGAACGAGTTATCTTCAAACTGGGGGCCCCTTCAACCTTAAGTGTTTTTCTGGCAAATTTTATAAGCAATATAAACAAAATTCTTATCATGCCAACCAGGCATGCTTCTTTTCTCGCACCGCACGGAGCAGGAAGACACACCCCTGACCCTGCGCTCGCTCGCCCCACGGGTGTGGGTCCCTCATTCTCGCTCCGGCCCTCCGGGTCCCCGCGGACCCTCCCCTGGCCCCACTGCGCCAACAGGCTCAGCAGGGCCGAAAAATCACGTTCCTCCGCCGCCCGGCGCGACCGGGAAGGTGCGCGCAGCCCGCCCGGCAGCCGCGGAGCGGCGCGAGGGCCGCGTCCCTCACCAGTCCCAGCAGACCCCCGCCGCCCTACGCCCACGGGCTGCTGGCCCTTCGCAGACTGCTCCGCGAGCTTCCGGGAGCGGTCCCCGCCCCAGCCAGACCTCCCGAGTCCCGGCGGCCCGAGGGAGAGTCCTCTTCCCTCTCAGGACCGGCACCGACCCGCCCCTAGGCGTCCCGCGCTCGCGGGGTTCCCACTGCGCCCGCCGTCCCGGGCAAGCGCCAGGAGGCCCCTCCAGGCTTCCGTCCGCCCGGCCAGGGCTCACACAGCCCGGCGTCCTCCACAGCGGGCGGGCAAAGAGCAGGAGCCCACGGCCCCGCGCCCCGCGGCCCTAAGCGAAGCAGCACACAGCCAGTCCGTCTCGCCGCCAGCCCGGGCCGCGACCCACAAGCCCACCGCCCACCGCCTGACACGGCCACCCTGCGCCCGCCCGCGCCAGCTCACGCCCGCTGCTCACCTGCGACGCGCCCCGGCCCCTCGCGCACCGCCCGGACCGGCTGTGTACACCGGAAGTGACGTCGCCAGACAGGCCCCGCCCCCGCCCCGGGACGGATCACCCGGCCGGAGCCACACTCCCTTCCCACCACCGAGGCGAGGCGGGGCTCGGGTGCCCCTGAGCTCATCCCCTGGGAACCCAGGACCTCCCAGGGGGGACAGCTAGGGTGGTGGTTGAGATCTGGCAGTCAGAGCCTTCCGGTCGCCCTGAGCCTCCAATGTGTCTTGGCCTCTGGGCGGGAGGGGTCGTCCATGAATTTATTATTGAAATTGATGACTAAAATATTGAGTGCTCTCTGAAAGGCTCTAGGAACCGGATAGCACTCTTACCCTCATAGGTTTATTCTCTAGTGGTGGAAACCAAATCCAACTGTGACAAACCGATGTGATAATATAGTGCCAATTGTGACAAGTGGTAGGAGGGGAAAAGTGGAAGACGGGAGAGAGTATCTTGACCTAGTGGAGGAGGATGATCAGGGAATTGTCCCAGGAAAAGAACAAGCGCTGAGATCCTAAAAGAAAAAAAAAAAAAAAAAAAAAAAAAAAAAAAAAAAAAAAAAAAAACTGAGGAAAAAGAACATGATATTACAACAGAAGAAACTGCAGGTGTTTTTGTCTTCAACTGCTTTGTGTTTCACAAACCAGGGCCAAAAAATAAATAAATAAACAAGGCCAGGGCTCTGAGAAATTAAATTTTAACTGAGAGCATTGCAAACCTAATAAATTTTGGGTTGGGAATGATTTGACCTCACTTAAGTGTTTAAAATGACTAATTTGGGGCCAGGGAGATAGCTCAGTGGAACAATGCCTGCTGGGCAAGCATGAGGTCCTGAGTTTGATTCCTGGTACCAGTAAGAAAAACCAAAAAGTGATTAATTTGGCTGTAGTGCGAAGGACTGGGAGCAGGGAGGCAAGGGTGGATGTGTGGGGCTGGGGGTGCAGCTCAGTGGTAGAGCACTTACCTAGTATACTAGAGGCCATGAGTTAGATCCGCAGCACCAGAGAAGGAAAGGAAGAGGAGAAAGAAAGTAAAAGAAAAGAGAAGGAGGAGAGAGAAAAGGGGAAAGGAAGGGAGAGTGGCTGGGTGTGATGCTGTATGCCTGTAATCCCAGGGACTGAGGCTGGAGGATCACAAATTTCAGCCTAGGCTAGGCAATGGTGATTTAGGGAGGAAAAAAAGTGAGTGTAGATTTGTGTGTCTACATTCATAGTAGCATTCATAATAGCCAAAGTGCAGAAGCACCTCAGGACCCATCCAAATAAAAAATACAAAGTGGGGGGGATTTGGCTGGGAATGGAGCCCAATGCAATGGCCCTGGCTTCAATTCCCAGTAACACCCCTCTGCAAAAATCCCCAGCCAATATATACAGAAGTTCTAGTATTTTCTTCGTGTATTGCAGAGGCTTGCCTTCTCAGGCTACCAGTATGCCAGCCTCACTTTGAAGGTCCCTCACAGACTATGATAGTAGCAATGGGGATGAAAAAAAAATTGGCCAAATTTGAGGAAAATTTTAGAATAAAATTGATGCAAGTCAATGATGAAATCCTGGGTCTCAGAGATGAGCCAGTGTAGTGGTGACATCATGGTGCGAAACCCCTAAAGAAGATATTTGAGAGGGTGGAAGACAAGAAAAAGGACATGAATTTCATTATGAGTATGAGATCAAGAAGGACACATTGATAGGCATGGTGGGACACTCCTGTAGTTCCAGTACTTGGTAAGCTAAAACAGGAGGATTGCCAGGAGTAGAGGCCAGCCTGGGCTACATAATAGTTCAAAACCAGCCTAAATTACATAGTGAGACCCTGTCTAAAAAAAAAAAAAGTTAAGGAGCCTTTGGGGATAGAGCTTTAGAGCTCAGGAGAGAGAAATCTGAAGGTGATGTCATTATAGATTGAGATGGGGCCTTTTGTGTGTGTGTGTCTTTTTGAGACAAGGTCTCACTATGCAGTTCAGGCTAGCCTTGAGTTCACTTTGTAGCCCAGGTTGGTCTCAAACTCTCAATGATCCTCCTGCCTCAGCCTCTTGAGTGCTGGGATTACAGGTGTGCGCTACCACATCTGGCCTAAAATGAGGCTTTGTGTGTGTGTGTGTGTGTGTGTGTGTGTGTGTATTTTGGTGGAAACTGTAAAACATGTCTCAGTGTCACGGAGAGGAAGACCCGGTAGAAAGCTGAGGAAACCAGAGAAAGATGATCTAATTCATCTTTTGAGGTTCTACAAAGACTAGAGGGGATCTAAAATGCACACACTCCAGCAGTCCCTCAGACAGAGGTGTGAGGACAGTGGTAAAGCTCTGGAAGCAGAAAGGTGAGTGGGCAGGAGAAACAAGGTAGAATTTCTCACTGGTACTGGGGCTCCATTGCAGGTTGGTAGCCATTACTTCAGAGTAGAACCTGCCTTCCTGCTAAGTGACTTGCTGCAGACAGCAGCTGTCTGCTGAGGGTGAAGAAAGTGGAGCAAAGATTCATCAAGGCAACAGATAGGGACAAGAATATTACTGACATCACGGGCTCATGGCCTATGGAAATCACATATGTACATGAGAAGTATGTGAAGTGAAAACATCGGCTTGGAGGAAGTGTTCCTGGGTGATTGTGTGTTATTTACTTGCCTATGTAGGCTGGGAAAGGGGCCAGGGATGATGGTGGAAGGCTTCCAGGGCCCAGCTGTGGCTCTTGCAGGCTCAGAATGAGCCTCTGTCTTTATGTAGGCCCTCTGAGCTCTTGCTACAGGGCCCAAGAGCTGCTGGACCTTACTGCAGAATCCTCCAGTGACAACACCTGGAAAACCCTTGTTGAAACTTTCTTTTCTTTTTTTTTTTTTTTAACTTTATTTTCAGTGATGGGGCTTGAACCCAGAACTTTATGAATGCTAAGCTCATACTCTACCACTAAGCTACATCCCTAGTGCTTTTTTTTTTTTTTTTTTTTTTTTTTTTTTTGGAAATAGTGTCTCCCTAAGTTGCCCACGCTGGGCTTGAACTTGTGATACTCCTCCTGTCTCAGCCTTTCAGGGTGCTGAGATTACAGGCTTGTGCCACTAGGGCCAGCTCTAAGAACTTTAAAATAGCCCCTTCCCCATGTGGCAGGCTCTGACCCATCTCCCCAGCCACTGCTGCTCACCTCAGTGCAAAGTTCATGAGCCCACAGAAGTGTGGTCAAAACCTCTTGTGCCTTCACCATTGAGCCCAGTCTGGAGGCTTCGGTCCAACACTGAGAAATGGCCTGGAGTCTCTCTCAGCCACATGTGAAGTTTTTAGTTCAGTATGAACCCTGCCAAACTTGGGGTCCCCTTGGTGGCCTCTGTAGATCTCTCAAGCTTACCTGAGAATATTTTGTACTGTGGATCTATTATATCTGCCTTGTGAGTCCATCTGCAGATATGATACCCAGGTTTAGATTGTTTTCATTCATCAAACACACATATACATGGAAAGGGAAGGAAAAAAAAAACATATACCCACAACATAGATTTAAGACATTGGTTACTTCCTTTGTGTCAAAGTGCTCATTAAAAAGGATGGGGCCGCGGGTCTAAAAATAGAGGTCAGAAGCTCCTGAAATGCTCACATATGCAGGGACAGGAGTTTCAATCCTTCGGGTCTGTAGAGAGGTCTGTATCTAGAGCCTCAACACACACATAGGAATGGGATGGAGCCTCAGTTTGCCATTGAGGAGGCCAAGGCCAGGTTGCCTGAATTCACCTGGGCCCTGTGTATCCGGAGAGAGACAGAGTTAGAGCCAGATGCTGTGAAAAGGCTGAGCGCCTATGAGATTGTTGCCTGTGGAAAGTGAGCAGAAGGCTTCAGGAACTCCCAGTGACTCAAGGCCTAGACCTTGCATTGGACCAGACCTGCATTAGTGAGAAGTATCTCAGAGATGCCCCTTGATATTGGCAGGGGATGGTCCTCTGTACTAGGAAGATGGCAGGGGATGGTCCTCTGTACTAGGAAAGAAAGAGAGAGAGAGAAAGAAAAAGAAAGAGCAGATTGGCTACAGCTAGCTTTTATGAGGTCTTTACACTCCCAAAGATGTGGGTTTTTTTTAATGCAATAGAGCACTACACTGCCATAAAGAAGGATGTTTCAGACATTTCTGCTAAATGGATGCAACTTGAGCCCATACTCTTGAGTGAAATAACTTGGACACATATGCTCAAATATTGCATGGCTTCTGTGGTGTGAGAAACGGAAAGTGTAAATAAGGACCAAAATGTAACATAGATATTTGGAAATGGGAAGAAAATGTTCAAATGAGAAGGGAAACAAGGGAGCGGGGAAGAGAGAAAGGAAAGAAGGGGCAAGAAAAAAATAGAAGGAAAAAATGGAAACAAGAAGGGGAAGAGGGTTCAGGAGGGGAGGGGAATGAGAAAAAAGCAAGATAGGATCATGTTCAGGAACAAGTTCCCTATGATGAATGTTATCACTGTGTGTATCTGAAATGTACCAATAAAATAAAAATTTCAAAAAGAAAAAAAAAATCAGAAATCCCAGCACAAGGGCTCCTAAAGAGTTACAGAACTGATTTTCTTTTCTTTTCTTTATTTACTTATTTATTTTTGGTCTTTTCGACCTTAGGGTCTCATTATACAGTTCAGGCTGGCCTTGAGCTCACTTATGTAGCCTAGGTTGGTCTCGAACTTGCAGCAATCCTCCTGCCTCAGCCTCCTGAGTGCTGGGATTACAGGTGTGTGCCACCATACCTGGCAGAACTGATTTTCTTAAGCAGCCCTGATTATTTATTTATTTATTTATTTTTGAGGTGCAGATAGCTTGCTTTATTTTGTTGTTACTAGCTCAAGGCAGTCCAACAATTATAACTAACAATTGAATTTATACCTGCGTGAAAAGTACATCAAATTGACATTTTGGGCAGTTGGTAGTATTGTTTTTAACTTAACAACAGCTTCATTTTGATGCTGTGCTTTATTAATTGTTATTATTATCATCATTATTATTTTTGCTGTAGCTCACTGCTTATTTGCCTGGTTTTTCATGTGCAGTTTAAATTTAGAGCTACCAAACAGCCCAGCTTGTTACTGCTGGGTTCTGTACT